TATGATAACAGGCTTTATGTTACATTTTTAGCTTCTACTTTATATATTTTATATATATATATATATACATACATATATACACACACACATTACGGTTTAGATTGTGGTTTAGTTGTCTATAGATTTTGACATTAAAATATTTTCAGTTCTTTTAAGTATTTATAATTTTATCCTCCAGTTAATGATAAATGAAAATCCTGGCTATTTTAATAAAAAGTTCTATACTTTTTACAGCATCTTTGAGGATTAACTTTGAATCTCCTGGGGATTAATAATGAATGAGGAATTTGAGGAACATGTAGAATTTAAAACAGGAATGTGATCCTAAATATTCACATGTCTTAGACACCTATAGCTTTGAGGTTAATGCATGCAAGTCAAGTCAATATCAATGTCAACTGATATTTTTTAGTGCCAGTGCTGTCCTAAGCACTTTCAATTAATAAAGTTTAATAGAATTCAGTTTGAAAATATAAAAATATTTGGGTGTGATAGTACACACCTTTAATCCCAGCACTCCAGAGGCAGAGGCAGGCAGATCTCTATGAGTTCAAGGCCAGCCTGGCCTACATAGCGAGTTCCAGGTTAACTAGGGCTACAGGGAGATTCTGTCTCAAAAAAGATTAAAAAAAATATATGTATATATAAATAATTTTGACTTTAAAGATATTTGACTGTTTGTATATTAATAATACATCTTAATTCCCCTCCCCTCCTCCAAAGTCAATAAATAAGACTTATATGCCCTGTCAGGCCTAGTGCTACATACCTATAATCCTAGTACTTGCAATCTTGACTTCAAACCCAGTAGGACTATGTAATAAGACCCCATCACAAATATTTTTAAATGCATTTTCAGTTAGTAAAGCTTCAAGTTTATGAATTCTAATAAAAATGAATTGATTCCATGGTGTAGAATATTACTATTTCATAGGTTTCACAACTAAACTTGTAACCAAGTCGTATCACTTTGCATAAGTGTCAGTTGGCATGGCCTACTTCATATTTTAGTCCACTAGCATGTTGACTTCTTATATCAGCACCTGAGCAATAAAGTGATTGATTTCTTTGTTAAACTATGTCAGTGGGGCCTGGTGACTTATATTTAATTGCACTTTCAGTATTTGTCACAACTGGATGTTAAAGTAATTCTTTCTAGATAAAGAAAACCTTTTGATCAGTTATTACACATAAACCCTTAGAACTTACTCCTGTACTTTCCTTAGTTAATATTTGTATTTTATGGCACAGAAAGCCAAGACAAGAAAGTTCTTTGCTTGACAGTTGCAATTTATACTCATAGTTTTGAATATTAGACTTTAGCTTTCCCATTTTCAGTGGGAAAGACCCATCTCCTGTATGAGGAATGCAGTTAATTTTTTTTTCTGGCACAAAGAATAGGGTAACCTGATCTGAGTCTGACAGAGTGTGTCGTTCATTTAAGTGCTTCCATCTGTTGCCTGCTGTTCCCCTTACTCATGACCCCTCTATGTTTCTCTCTTTCCCTTTCCCCTTTCCTTTCCCTCTGTCTCTCTTTCCTTTCTCTCTCCCCTTTCCTTTCTACTTTTCCTCTCTCTCTTCTCTTTCTGTCTCTTTCTGTCCTTAGCCCCTCTGAGGAAGGCAAAGTTTGTTGAGAGCCCACGAATTCCAGAATCCGAGCTTGGCTCCCCAACTCTCACTTCAGCTCAGAAACTGGACGTGGATGCATACTGCCCTGGTAAGTATGCATGCAAAGTATCTGCTTTGAAAAAAGGAAGAATTGGATCAGGCCCATCCAGCAGTGTTTTGCATGTGTTCTACTCATAAAAACATGTTCCCTCTTGTAACAGATTATATATTCTCCTTAAAGAGCTTAGCTTTTTACTGTATGTCTTGTTTTTTGGTAATTGATGAGAGTATGTATTAAAATAAGTTTCAAAAATAATTTTCAAAAGAAAGTAATTTTGGCAGATGAAGTATTCACTTATTCTTGTGACTTGGTGTAATTGAAGACATTTTGTTGTGGCCATGTGCAGACAAGAAGGTTGAAGATACATATAAGGATGTTCATTCAGTATTAGCTCTTTTGCATATATGATCTGTTGTGCCTAATTACTCTTGGAATTCTGGATAGTTACATAAAATACTTGTGATATTGGAAACATTAAACTTGAATTCGATTCCTGGGTTTGATTCCTTTCGGACACTCACTTTTACTCTTCCTGTAAAGGGCCTGTAAGCACATGTGGGGCTTCACTAAAACCCTTCTAGTGTGGGAGCCAAACTGAGACAGGCTCATTATCAATGCTTAGATTCTTTCAGACATAAATAGGTTGCCTGGCAACATCCTTTACACTTTCTCTAGAGTGTGTCCATAGAATTGTGTCCGAAATGTTCACAGCTCTGGTTGGAAAAACAGATCAGAATATCAGTAAAGGTCCTTGAAAGACTTTGTTTTAAGGTTTTTTTCATTATCCCTGCTCATTAAAATAGATGTTAAACCACTGCAAAAAAAAAAAAAAAAAAAACACTGCGTATTTACTGCATTTGGGATCAACAGAATAAAATGATTCCTACTTCTAGGGAAGATACATTTCTGATCTGAACTATCAAGATAATATATCTCTGAAGCCAACTTGGACAAGTTAAAGTAATTTTAAGGTTTTTTTCATTATCCCTGCTCATTAAAATAGATGTTAAACCACTGCAAAAAAAAAAAAAAAAAAAACACTGCGTATTTACTGCATTTGGGATCAACAGAATAAAATGATTCCTACTTCTAGGGAAGATACATTTCTGATCTGAACTATCAAGATAATATATCTCTGAAGCCAACTTGGACAAGTTAAAGTAATTATAAAAAGACACACACACACACACACACACACACACACACACACACACACACACAAAGAACCAGTGAGAGAAATCTTGGTTCAAACCTAGTAAAATATATTTGACTTTATGAATCAGTTTTGAATATTGAAAGGCCTTGGAGATTGCACTCTTAGGCTGTTTTGTTTTGTTTTTAAGAATCAGTAATAGCTGAGTATTAGGAACCAGCTACTCTGTTTCTAAAAGGAACAAAAGCTCTTTAGGTATCGCTATGTAGCACATAGATTCTTTTTCATGCTTTGAGGTATGAAGATACTCATTAGGCAGTGGAATATTGTACTTTGTATTTTGTTGCAAACTTTAGTGTTATAAAGTAAAATGTATGAGTTCCCTATTTTTTCTAAGTCCCCCTCTCCATACACTTTCCACTCTGCTCTCTTCTCCCTTCTCGTCTTCCCCTTTCCTCTCCTTTGCATCTCTCTTCTCCCTCCTCTTTCTTATCCCTTTCCCTTCCTCCATCTCCCTGTCTTTCTGCTCCACTCCTTTGAACTTGGACTCTAACCCAAAGGCTCATACAAACCAAGCAAGTCCTCTACCACTGAATTACATACCCCTAGCCCTCCAGAGGCTCTTCCCTTTCTAGACTCAGTGAGAATGACTTTCAGGGGAGCCTAATTCTTTCATTTCTTTAGGTCCCATGTTAATTGTATCCCTAATCTAATGTAGCTGTCCTTCTAGTCATGAAGCAAATTAACTGCATTTTGGGAATGTCTGTACCAAATCACTATGAGAAGTCTTATCAATGTGGTTATTTATGCATATTTTCCACAAGCATGAATTCTTCGTTGGTTAAGAATCAAACTAAACTAAAGATTTTTAGAACACCAGGAAGAATTGAAACATCAGGCCAAAATGCTAATCACCATGCTTTGCAGGCCTTCCTTTTTTATGTGAAACAGATTTATAGCATAGGAACTTTATACTGATTTGTTCTTTCATAATGAAATGTTTAGGTCCTCCAAAAAAAGTTTCTACTGAGATAAGAGTGGTAACCTGAGGTTTGCAGGTGTTATCTGTAGGTAGTATCAAGAATTAACAATAAACAAAATGAATTAATGAGCACACATAAAACAGACTTGGGACTTAGAAAAAGATATCCCAAAGTATGATGTTCTGTCATGCTGCATACTTTGAACTAAAGAGGATAGGAAGGTTTCAGAAGCTACTTCAGATCCCAGGTCACCCTGACCTTCTGCCCTCATATCTTTCCCCATCTTTCTCCCAAAGCAACTCAGGGAGGGGCTTTCTCTGAAGTTCCATTATCTGCCTAAAAATAGATTCTCCAAAAAAGGAACTCAATTGTCAGTAGTCCTCTCCCAGGGAACCTCATCAACCAGAGAAGATTAACTGTGTCACAGGAAAAGAGAACAAAGGTTGACACCACACCAGACAGATTTTTCTCACAGACTATCATTTATTCTTCTGAAAACCCGTTGATCTTTTTCAGAAATCATTTACTGTCCTCTAAATTGTCCACGTCATGTCTCCTCTCTCCTGAGAAAGAAGATGTGTAAACATGTGGATTTCACTGAGCATTTTGGTACTCAGCCTTTCTGCCTAGCATACATGAAATACATTTGTTTGTCTGCCTTTTCTATTAGCTTGTCTACTCTTAGTCTGTTTCATAGAATCAATTATTAAACCTTCAAAAGGTGGCGAGAAAGGCATTTGTTTTTACACTTCTACAAAACAGGTATTATTTTTTTAATGGAAGATATACTAACAGAACAATTAATATGTTATTAGGTATTCATATATAATAAGTTCAAATAAGACTGATATCCTGAAATCTTTTCTACCTATTTTATTCATCTTCATGTGCAAATTTAAATTCTGTGTATCTCACAGAAGCAATCATCGCCAACTAAAAATTAGAGCAGTGGTGCTCAAATCCTTGCAAAATTCAGAATTACCAAGCCTTGCTCAGATACAGATTGCTGGGCCACCCCTAGAATTTTTGATTCAGTGGATCTGAAATGGGTTAATTCCTAACGGATACCCAGGTAATGCTAAAGCTGTTTGTAGAGGTTCATACTTTAAGAACCAGTTGGTTTTAAAGTCAATTGTAGACCACTTACTAATGGTACAGTACAAAGTGCTGGAAGTCTGTGGGGTTTATTGTATCACTCTTGACTTCTAGGGAGTAATTAGCAGTGTTGTTTCTATGCTATCTAAAGTTAAACCTTCTGGTGCCTATATTTTAAGTTAGAGCAATGTATCTTTGTGTCTGAAACAAAGTCATAATACTTTTCTTAGTCCATCTGTACCTGCCATCTCTGTACTCATGTATTTTCTGTATTGTCACACTTGTAAAAGGAAATTATGAATTAAACCAGACTAAGTCATTGAGGTATATTTTACAGTTTGATAAAGCCACTTTATGATGTGGCTGTCAATCCAGAATGTTTGTCCAATAAATCAAGGGCTTCAGTCTATATAGCATTAAGTCCTTAAATATCTAAATGTTAACAATTCCTCAAATTAAATTTGTTGTATGCAGAAAATGCATGAATGTATTAGTAAACAATATATTTTGACTCTGCCTTTGCAGCCATGGAGATAATCTATAGTACCAACATAACTAAATTACCAGAGGAGAAGATGCTCAGGGAACTGTATTAGATAATTGTTCATAGTGTGCAAACTATGACCTAGAAATTTTAAGTGCTTCATCTAGCGTCATAAGCAGGATTTATTGCTAAATTCTTAAAGTGGAGTCTATATAGTCCAGAAATGCATTACACTCTAATCCATTTACCATGTGTATTAGTTACTTTTCATTGCTGTAATAAAACACCATGTCCAGGGCAACTTATAGAAGGAAGAGTTTATTTGGCTTACAATTCCAGCAGGATTAGAGTCCATAATGGCAGGAAAGGCATAGTAGCAGAGGTACCCAGAGCAGAAAGTCAAGCAATCACATCTTTAAGCAGGCACAGGAAGCAGAGAGCAACTGGAAGTCTGACAAGGTTAAGAACTGTCAAAGTCTGCCCCCCAGTGACATGCTTCCTCTAGCAAGACCACACCTCCATTTTAAAACCTCCCAAAACAGTGCCACCAACTGGAGACAAAAAGTCCAAATACTTGGAGTCTATGGGGGACATTCTCTTTCAAACCACCACATTCCACTTTCTGGCCCCCACAGGCTCATGACCACATAAAATGTAAAATTAGTCCACATAGTCAATTGTCCCCATAGTCATTCCCAGTCTCAATGCTATTTAAAAGCCCAGAGTCCAGAGTCTCTTCTGAGACTCAAGGAAATATTTTTTTAATATTTTGTTATTTTTATGTGTGTGCAGGTATTGTCTGAATGTGTATAAGTGCACCCATGTCTTGGCAATGCCTGTGGAGGTCAGAAGAGGGCATTGAATCCCCTGGAACTGGAGTTACTGACAAATTTTAGCCACCCTGTGGGTGCTGGAATTCAAATCTGGGCCCTCTGTAAGAACAGCCAGTGCTGTTAACCACTGAGCCATCTTTCCAGCCCCTCAAGGTAATCTGTAAGGCCCTGTAAGATCAAAAGACAAATTACTTACTTCCAACATACAATGGAATCAAATACACTTTCCTATTCCAAAAGGGAGGAATGGGAGCATACTGAGGAAATACTGAACCAAAATAAGATTAAAAACCAGCAGGGCAAACACCAAAACCAGGAGCTCCATGTCTGACTACTGAGACTACCAAAGGGCTTAGATGACTCAGCCTCTCCAGCAACATACATTTCTCTCTTGGCTTAATGCAGTTCTCCTTGTCAGATGTTTCCTGGCTCCAGCATATCCAGTGTCTTGGAGTCTCCAATGCCAACCAGGTTTTACCATCATAGCTTCAAGACCTTCTTTATGCAGGGACATCACTGCTCTGTGTTACCTGGCCTTGATGGCTTTCTGAAACTGCAGAGGACCCCTTCACTCTTACATCTGTCATGCCTCTAAAGCTAGCACCATGTTTGCTGCCAGTCTCTGATGGACCCTGGCCTGCTTCATCCACATTAGCAGCTTTTCTATGCTGTGATTCTCTAGGAGCAGAAAACTGCTAGTTTTCCTTTCACAACTTGGAGGCTCAGCTGAGTGCGGTCTTGCCCAGAGAGGTACTTCATCCATTGTTCCAGTGCAAATCTAGAGGCCTATCCTTAATGGCTCTAATCTCCTTATCAAAGTGAACCTCCTCTACAGTACATGCTTTGACTCCAAGATCAAGTTTCCTAGTGATCTTTTTCAATCCAAACTGTACATTTCCCATGTCTTTCTGCCCCCTTGCTCCTTCTCACTGTAGATCTGCATACCATTCACCATTTCTATCTTAGGCTATCTTAAAATTTTTCTTCAGCCAAAGACATTAGTTCATTATTCTTCAAGTTCGTCTCAGGGAAACTTAGACTAGGGACAAACTGCAGCCATATGCTTTGTCAAAATATCTCAGTTGCTGTCTAAGTCCTTACTTTCCTCTGAAACTACTTTGCTCTCAGTATGACTTTCTTCCAAGCTCCTGCTAGAGTGGCCCATTAAACTCTGCTTACAGCATTCAACCACTTTGGAACCTTGGAAGTCTTCCACATTCCTCTAAAATCCCAAATGGTCAGAGTCTTCACAGCAACACCCAACTCTAGCACCAACTTCTGTATTATTTTCTGTTGCTTTGATAAAACACCACGACCAAGGCAACTTACATAAGGAAAAGTTTATATCTGGTTGTAGTGGTGCTTGCATTTAATCCCAGCACTTGGAAGGCAGAGGCAGGAGGATCTCTGAGTTCAAGGTCAGCCTAGTCTACATATCGAGTTCCAGGCCAGCTGGGGCTACAGGGAGACC